CAGAGATACTTACAACCTAGGCTGGGTTTTTTTTTTTTTGTTGCTTTTTTCCCCATATTAGGAAATACCATATGAAGAGAAATTAGAGGGTGGTATGGTAGGATAGGAAAAGAACCCCCAGATACTATAAGCTGACTGAACCACTGTGTCATCCCAAGGAAGAAAAGGAAGCAACAAGAACAGCTTCTCAGGCGCCTCCATCTACCTAGACATACTTTGCTTCAGGGCTCCTCAACATCTGACCAGCAACAGCTTAAATATTTTTCCAGACTTTTTTAACTACTTGCTAAAGGAATGTCATTGTCTTGGTTGTGAAGCCCCAGCAGGCCTGCTCTTTTACCCATGGACTGCCTGGAGAACAGAGTCACCAAAGCCACTGAGGGCCATGAACTGTTTTTCCTGGTCTCTGTTATGATGCTGACAAGACCTACGGCTGGCAGGGGTCCCTGTGCATGTTGGGCAGTTGTGTGGACAGTTACAGCTGTTCCTGACTGCAGGAAATGCTCCTTTCTGTTCTGAGCAACAGGAAATTCACCCTGTTAAGGTGGTGGTGTGGATGGGGATGACATTGCCTCTACACTTGTTTTGGTACTATTAACCATGCTCCTTTTTGGTTTACTCCACAGATATTATGTGGGAAGGAGATCCCCCGCTGGGTGAACCGCCTGGCCTACTTCAGCTCATGCATCCCCTTCCTCCAGAGCTGTCTCCCCAAGGAATGGCTGACCCCAGCAGCCCTGCAGAGCCACATCAGCCTTGGCCTCCACAAGGAGGAACAAGGGGACACAACGGATGAGGAGTGCCCCTCCACCTCTGCAGCCCCCTCAGCCTCAGGCACATCACGAACCTGTAGACATACACGGGTCTAAACTGCCCAGTTTGCTTCCAAATAACATCCCTGCTCTCCTGTTCTATTTATTTATCACACCCTTTCGCATACATTAGTTTCTTTCTTCAGCAGACAACAGAGGGGAGGGAAGACCCTTTCTGCTTCAGTCCCTTTTCCAAGGACTGCCACTACAGCTGCTTGGCAAAATGACTGTGAACCTCAACACAAAACTGAGGATTGTGGTTAACTAAACTGTATTCTCCTCCAGGGGCATCCATGATCCTTGATCTACAGAGAACTGCTGACTCTCTCAGGCATGAGAGCATGCATATGGGCAGAGTGCACATACTGTGATGTTCCTTCTCTGGAACTGTTTTATCTTTTTATCGCTCCCTCTACCCATTTAAGCCCAGCAGTCTCTTCTCTATTTTGGCTCGGTTTCCCCTTCCCCAAAGACAAATCACCTGCCCACAACCAGTGAAGGAACCAGAGCCAGAACTCAACCTTCTCATCTCTTAGACCAGCAACAAAGTCCACTCAGATCCATCCCTTTTGTAAGTATCAGGTTTCTAACTCATGTGAAGGACAAATGAAAGGTGCTCCTGTTCTACAACCACCTGTTTTCAGTACTCAAATTTAAGAGCTTGAATGACTGTCCTGCTCTTGAAAATAATAACAAAGAACCTAGAAAATGAATGTGTTACTGTGGCTTTTCTTTGGGGTCAAAAAGAGCATGGGGCTGTGGTGATTAGAGGCAGCTACTACGTAGATGCAGACATGACTTGACCATATTGGTGCTTTTTGGCACAGACCCCTCTCAGTTTTCCTAATCCTAGGCAATGTTCCTGGTTTCCTTTTTCCTCTCAGATTCCCTGGGGAATCTCCTAGCTGACATTTGCTGGCTGTATTTAGGGAAATGGCCTTCCTGAGCACAAGGAAGAGAAGAGTGAATCTGTTTGGAAGGTCAGTATTTCCTTCAGATTTTTCTCCTGCACTAACAGACATAAAACATGGCTTCAGAGCCATCCTTCCCTGGCCTATTCTTGAGCCAACCCAAGAAGGTAAAAAACAAATGGTGAACCCAAAGAATGTCAACCTGTTCCTTTCTCCTCCCTTTTTGGAGGTGGAGGGGGAAACTTAGGGCCACATCTGGAAAGCACAGATGACCGTTTCAATGCATGGGCCACCATGGTGCCTTCCGCTGTGTGCACTATTTCAGTGGAATGAAAAATGGGCTCACTGGCCTCTCCAAGCTGGCTCCTGACAAGAATCTGGTCCTTGGATGCTAATAAGCTAACTTATGCTAATTCTGACAGCTGATGAGAAAGCACAGAATCGGGGAAGGACAAGTACACTAACTCTTCCACTCAATTACCTCACTAGGAAGTCTAGTCAGAAAGTATAGGAAGGAATCAAAGGGGAAATCCAGGCCCCCTCTCTCCCTTGCAACTTCTCTTGGCTACACAAAGGAGGATGAAAAAGGAACAGGCAGTGTGTTGAAGGGAGTTGCCATTTGAGAAATGGTGTTCTCTTTAGAAATGGTGTTCTCAACAGCTACTACCAAGTCAGGACTTCCACCCTGCACCAAGAGAGAACTACAAGCCCTTAAGATGGTGGTTGTTTCCTCTTTTGGTTGCAAACACATGCTAAGTCCAACCAGCTGTTTCTTTAGCTCAGGTATACAGGAGTGTGTGCTTTTAGGGCTGAAGGTCTTGGCTATGATGTACATCATGTCTGTACAGACAATGTTTGATGGTTTGTTACATGTGCATGCCCTTATTGAAGCAGGAGGCTCTGGAGAGATCTACTGGATAGAAATGTAACTCACAGGATGGCTTCACTCCACTGCCTCCTGAAGTGATGCGTGTTTAGGCAACTAAACCTCTACAACATGCCTCTCATTTTCATCCTCTGTACAAACTGCTGCAAGTTCTACGCTGAACTGAAGTCGTGTTCCTTATTGTCTACCCACAGCCAGTGCTGCATTGTGAGCAATTCTGCAGCTCCTGGTAACCAGTCCAATACCAATCTTCATTAGTATGGCTTGTCCAGGGGTGTTTAATAAGATTTCTGTCATGACCTCCATGCCACTATCCAGAAACCATATTGCACAATGTACTGTTTCACTCTGTATTCCCCTGCAGTTGTGGTCATTGCAGCCTAAACCATTGCAGCATTGCAAGCTTCATTTGTCTGAAGTTCCCAGGGTTTCTGCCAACAGCCAGCAGCACATTATATGCAACAAATTTTAAAGGTCCTTCGCAGGGGGAAAGTGAGAAGAGGCTTTCCCAGAGCATTTGTCTAGGCCAGGGAAACTGCACTCAGAAACACCTCGTTCTCTTTGTTGTGACAAAAGCCAGCCGGCCATCACCCTTATGTTTCCACTCTGCACCTGACCTTCAGATGAAGCATCATGTATGCATCTAGGAGATGGGCTCCAGAGGCACATTTCACACAGAATACCCTCTCACAGTACTTCACAAAGTTAAAAATGCTTAACTGGTTGTATGGTAACCTGGACAAGAAAGCCGCATTTAGCCTACTTGGGAACATAAATATGTGTTTGAAGTATTGGGAACAACATTTGGGGCAAGCTGTGAATGTCATAAAACCCCCAGATGTTTTTTAACACACTTTTATGTTTGTCTATCTGTTGATGCCAGTAGGGGTCACATCAAGGAGGCATCAAACTTCTGTAAATCAAACCCAGAATATATTCCAGGCTTCAAAATGGTTTCTCCCTACCCCTCTCTGTTCAAGGTGACTGATCAACCAATAATGAAATAAACAAAGTGACACTGTGGAAATAAAATATTTATTGATAATGGCTTTAACTCTGTAATTTAACAGCATTTTAGATTATTAAACATTAAGACATTTTAAAATCCTAATTTACTGTTCATCTCTGGCACAGCATGATTGTCTTAGGCATTTTTATTTTCCTTCCAATTATTACAAAATTGTTGTTGTTATTACATGATTATATCATATTTGTATTTAGTTACACATTTACTTTCTCTTGCTGCTTTCTCTGCATAACACCACGTGGAAAATTTTAAATACCATCAGCAGTTATCAATGAAAACAGAAGAACACTGTATGAATCTTAACAAGAGCACCCCATAGCAGTGGAAGAAACTCTTAACCATTCTTCTTACAGCCAGGATTTTTGGTGTCCTTTTAAAAGCTGGGATGAGAAGGCACCAATTCTGCACATGGGCATCAGCAGCTGTGGGTTGTGTCTCTAGCAGTGACCTATAGTATTCAGGTGGGAGAGTAAGACTGCACGTGAGGTTAGCCTAACACTGGAATATTAGAGGTACAAAATAAACTTTCTAGGGAAGGCATAAGAGGAGCGAAGTAAGTAATAACCTATTTTCTCAGCATGTCTTTATCTATGATCACAACTTCCTTAATTTCATGACATTATTCTTTCTGATTTCTTTTTGGTCAGTTGCCTTCCTCTTCACAAGTCTGTGATTTGAAGCCTATTTTTCTCAAACTCTTCAGGAGGGACACTTGTGCTTTCAGAGGCCCTGGGTGTGTTGGTTTCCCAGCCCTGAGCCTGTGCTCTGTGATGAGCTCATCCCAGGCTCTGCACAGCACGGGGATGGACACACACAGACCTGTTCTCTTGCTCTCACTGCTCCCAGCTGACAGCTTGCATCTCTGGAATTTATACTCATGTTGCCTTTGTGTTATTGAGGTACTCAAGAAATAGTAATTTCCTGCTATGTTTTTCTCTCTAGACTGGTAGGGCTCTCAGAACAAGTTAGTGGATATGGGATTGCAATAATATTAGCTTATCTTACTATATGTGTTTGGTTTTATTCTCATTTTAGTGTATGTGCTATCTTATTAGCATGGTCAGAAAACTTTATAAGTACCTTGATTAATGGAGAAGACCAAAGGAAGGAATCATAAATGTTCAATTTTCAAACGTTTTTAAATTACTCTTTGAGTTGAGGCAGCAGGTGCCTTGTTCCAATTTGTCCCTGCCCTGCATGCCATCAGCAAAGACGTCCAATGTGAAAAGGCTGTGTAGCAATTCAGAAGTATGGAAAAGAGGACCTGACGTTCTGTGTCCACTCTGCCATTGCCAGAGGCTGCCAGGTCAGGGTGGAACCTCTGGCTACCATAACATAAAAACCTTGCAGGCTGTGCCTGGAGAATGGGTGCTCGTGTCGGTGACAGCTCAGCACTGCAACACCGTGCGGGAGCCTGCAGCTGAGACCTGCTGGGCTGGGCGGCACAGCACATTGAATTCCCAGCAGGTATGAAGGACTATTGCCTCCAAATATCACGGTAAGGCTAGCACCTTTTTCACTAGCACCGTTGTAGCCAACTTTGTTTTGAAAAGGCGTTTTTTGGTTCATTTTGATTGGGACAAGGGATAACTGCAGGAAAACAGATGATCGCGGTCGGCAATCTTCTCTCCTTAGGGAAGCAGGCTACAGAATGAAGAGATGCAGCTCGTGACGAGGCCTGCTCAACTGTGTTCATCAACGAGCTGCGAAGGAAAGCGTGCGGGGGGTGTGTGGAGGGCAGGGGCTGAGGCGCGGCCCAGGCCCAGCGGAACCCGCGTGAAGAGGCGCGGGGCCGNGGCCGCGCTGCCCGGAGGCCTCCCGAGCTCGGGGACACGGTTATAACACATATCCTGAAGATATTCCTTACTGGGAACTGAGGAAAACGCATTTTGCTGGTGGCTTGGTTTTGTTTTTATTTTTTATTTTTTCCTGTGAAACGCCACTTGTGTTTCTTGTCTTACTCTCTTTAGCTTTTGATTGGACTTTAAACTGCAGTGGCACTGTTGGTCTGATAATTTGTACATCTAAATAAGTGGAAAGATTTTGAGTTGATGGGTTATGGGTACTAGCTGTGCTCAAAATGGTGTGGCATAACTTTTTTAGACTAGTTGAGCTTAGGAAACATCAATAATGTCAGAGGACTGAAACAAAATTATAAGACTCTCTTACGACATTACCTCTGTAGATACTGCACGTTAGGTTGCACTTCTCTAAGTGTGTTCATTAGGGGGAAAATGAAAAAAAAACTCAGATGCACTTACGGATAAAAACTCAGGAAGGAAGACAAAAGCAGCACCAAGGCCAGTGTGGTTTCTGTTTGTGCAACTCATGTCTCCTTATCCATCTGTGCAGCTGGTTTGCAAAAAAGCAAACGAATTTCAAGGTGGATAGAGAATAAGGCAAAGGATAATTCCAACATTTTTAGAAAGCTGCTAGAGAAATCAGTGTTATCTTCCTCAAATATTCGGCAGCATGCCTTGGAAAAAACGGAGTGGACCAAAGAAGGACATTGAGACTTGTTAGAGTTAAAAAAAAGTTTAAGGCCGTTAAAGGGATATTACAGATGTTCTAGAGTAAGGCCTTTCATGGAAGTTATTAATGAAGTATCTTTTCTTGAGATACTGATGAAGGCATTTGTAAGAAATGAAAACAGTTAAGCCAAACCAACAAAACAGTGTGATAATACCACAGCTGCATGAAATCATTTGCATCAGCAGCTCTGCTCCCTGCTGTTGCACACAAGCTCTGCATACAACACCTTTCCTGAAGTGATCAAGCACAGTGCTACAGCTTGCTAGGTATCCTGCTTGCATGAATGTACCTGAGAGGCTGTCCAGAACTGTGCTGCTTTCATGCTTACACCAAATTTATTTTGTTTTCGGATTTTTCACGTATGAGTGCTCTGACAATATTCTTCAGTTTAATAGCACCTTGCTTAGATGATAAAGGTTGGATATAGTTTTAGCTTACAGTGCTTTTGTTTATGTAATTATTTGAGGCTTGCTACTTTTCTTCCTGAATCAGGGAATGTCAGGCAGTTTAGTATTCTCCAGCTCAATTTTGACTCTGTAGAAGGCCTGGGGAAAATACTGTGTGATTAAATTATAGATACTTAGAGGTGGTGACCTAATGGAGGAAAAAAAATCACCACTGCTTTTTAATAATAAGTATATCTACTACTGGTGTAGTAGCTGAGGAGATTCAACTGATACCTAAGATTCTGATTTTGATAAAACTTTCTACATTATTCCCTGTGAGAACTGCATTTTAGAGAAGTAGGGCAAAGATATGTTTCTTAGCTTTTTAGTTCTCAAAAGGATTAAAAAGATACAAAAAAATGTAGTTACAACATGCTTGCCAAATTAAAAGGTATCTTTGGAGGTAAGGTAGGTCCTGTAGAAATAATGTGGTCTGTAATATTGTGAAAAGACAGAAATGTCATTACAAGATGGAGGAACTTGTCAAAAATAGAGTAAAACATGAAACAGGATTCTTCCTGTGTACTCAGTCCTCAGCTGGAGTAACTTTTTAACTCTATGGTGCTGTCCTGGAGATGGTGATGATAAACTGTAAAGTCTAGAGGAAAGCAACATAAAAGATAAAGCTAACATTCCACTTTTAAGGAAGGCTTGAAGGAATTGACTTAGTTTATTTTAGAAAAGTCTGCAAAATTCTGTACGTTGTACATTGAGAGTGGGGATTGCCTTTCATCACTTGGGAAAGTACCCCCAAAATAAATGAGCATATGTTAGGAAAATACTGCTCTTTTTTTAGGAAATAGCACTCTGGTACGTAACTGGGGTTTTTAAGATGAGCTTGAGCAACCATCTGGCAGCAGTGGCATAGATTGTCTCAGTTCAGCTTCAGTGCTTCAGAGCCAGGGCTTCAGCATCCCAGGCCAGGCCTGTGGTTGTCCTTTTGGCCATCCCCAGTTGTTTTGGCAAGATTTTCCGTAGGTCTTAGCAGGAATCTTTAAGACTGGTTTCTTTGACTTTGTACTGCCTAATTTCATTCTGTTCCTGTTGCAACAGAGCTTTTTTCCTCCAGACACAACATTATATAGAGAAATATTCTATTATATTTCTTTCCAGGGTTTCATGTCTCCCTGCCTTAAAATTATTCTCCCTTGTGAATACTTCAGAATGTTTCTGACTTGCTGCCCAAAGGCTTCCCAGGGAGTAAGAAAAAGGAAAATTCATGCAATAGTCAGTTACCCAGCTGTCTATGGAGCTCTGAAGGCATCTCTAAAGCTGAACAGAATTGTGCTAAAAGATCAATTACAGCAAAAAAGACAGTGAATCTAGGCAAAGAATCAGAAGGAGCATGCTTTTACAATCCTTTAAATTCTGCTGAATTTGTTAATAATACTGAAACCAAAGATTTCTGTTAGAGTATTACATTTTGTACATAATTTTTTTCTCTCTAGACTGGTGCAGGACTATTCTTCAGTACAACTGAACTTTTCATCAGCTCCATATTTGCTTTTTCAGCAGCAAAAAATCAAAATTTTTTTTTGTATCTTTTCATAGCTTTCATATCTTGCCTTTTTATAGTGCATATTTGAATGAAAAACCCCTGTGCCAAAATAGCTAAAATTTCAAGGTTAAAGTGATCCTAATTCAAAGAAAGATGGTGTCTCATTGCACCCCCTCTAAAATATACCTTTAAAATATTTCTTACTTTTTAGAGTAGATTATCCTGATAGTTTTTTTATTTGTTCATTTGGTCTTGGGGCTGTTAGAATATTTCAGTGGAGAAGGAGTTTTCTTGATTGATCTTCAAGCCTCATACTGACAACAACTTTCAAAGTGAGATGTGTAAATCACAGTTTTCAGTCATACTTTCTCAGTAGCTGGAGGTGTTTCTTTGTGAGCACCAATGAAACTGTAGGGGGTAGGACTTAAACCTGCAGGAGACTTTTTTTGGAATTTTTCTGTATCTTTGTAAACTTTGCAGATACAGTATCTCTGTGCGGCATAAAACAGTAAGCATGCAGGGGAGAGTGATGGTATGGAATATCTCAACAGCTTGAATGTGATCAAGTGAGTAGTCCCAAAACATTTCTGAAGGTGGTAACATCTTGTGTGGGTGTTGGGATGAACTCCAGCAACCTTACGGGTAGATCTAAAATTTGCTTTTGCAGTAGAGGGCTGTGCCACCTCTGTGGTAACTTAAACATCTTTGTCACCTCTATTGGCATCTCTGTTTGCCGTTTTGAGTATGGGCTCTCCTTCCTTATCACATGAAGCTTAACTTAGAAGTCTCCAGCATTTGTGGCTCTATTATAAAAGGAGAGCTTCAGTTTCTACTGCTTTATATTCCACAATATACCTGACCAAAAGGGTTGTGTCTGTCAATGTCATATTGCTGCAGTGATGCTTCTGTAAGATCCTGAGAGAGCAAGGCTCCTTGATCTTGCAGCTGGTGCATCCAGCATCCGACCTTCCTTATGGGACACTGAACATGTAAGGTCACCTCTCTGGTACACTTGGAATATTTGAAGTCTGCTGGAAGTTCTTTTACACCAACAGTTTTAAATGATGGCTCTATATCATTAAGGAAGCAAGTTTGGATTTAAAATTGCAAAGTAGTAACAAATGTAAGACACATGTTAAAAGCCCCCATGTTGTTTCATATGCTGTCAGCAATTCCCAAGGTTTGCTTTTGTGGTTGTGTCTCCGTCTGATTCTAGGCAAGGATTTTTCAAACTCTGTAAGCTGCAAAATGAATGCATAGGTGGAGTTCCAGTTCTGTCAGTATGTTACAAGGAAAAAAAATATGTTCTGATTATCTGAAATGACATCTTAGCAGAAAGAAAATATAGTCTGTGGTTCATTTGATGATTTTTATTGCACACCTAAAATAAGTATATCACACTGTGTGTATAGTAATGCAGATTTTCAGATTTACAGTATGTTGCAACATTCTCCATACCTATTGCTGTAGATTTTTGACTTCCTTTCATTTTTTTGGGGTTATGTGGGTTTTTTTCCCCTCATCCTGTAATGACTGTTTTTACAAGTACTTTTATTCTCCTTCTGGATCTTGTCTTTGGTGTTTTACATGGCTTGCCTAGTATTGCCAAAGGAGAATGCCAAAGGTAGCTTGGAGCAGTGAAAGATTTTACTAGGAATAAATATGTTTCTAAAATCTATTTCCACTAGTGATTATTAGCACAGACTGTACTGCAATGCCATCTACGCTGCTGCCTTGAATAGTGCAAATTTACTTCAATAAACACTTTGTCAAGGGATGCCAAGAATGCACGTCAGGTACAGGACTGGAAAAAAGGTCAGCTTGGAACAAGTCCCTAACGATGCTGAAGCAATGTGGTCAGTGTGTCTAGGCACCATTAGAGAAGGTCAGTGGTATCTTAGGCTCCCACTAATGAGCCAGTTGTTTTGACAAACAAAACCAAAGCAACTTTTCCAGACATCAGGACCTGAAATTACATGTCCACGGATTAGTTTTGTTCACTGGTGTGAAGTCAGGGTCATCTGGGAGCAAGGACTGGTGCCCAGAAATGTTTTACAGATATATGAAATGATACTTTGTTGTCCTGTGAGTTACTTAAAGTGGAAGTTTACAGGGTTAATGGGTTAAATTTTCATAGATTTCTTTAAATTCAACATTTCTAGTTCATTTAATAAAAAACTGCTCAATTTGGAGTCCTGGGGTATGCTAAATACAAGGCACGCTTTTTGCCACAGATTCTGCAGGATCTGC